CACCCGGCGCCTGCAGCCCTATGGCCGTGGACATGCTGGGAGCCGCCGGGGAAGGTACGTGGCGGGGCGTCCAGGCCAGGGCTTTCCCTCCCTGCCTGCCTGCTCCCAAGCGACGTTTCCTGCCCGGGCGGGGCCTCTCCCCGGCCGCGCCACGCAGGGGAGTAGTGCAATGCCGGGGGCCGCCTGTCCGTCCGGGAGCTGCTGTGCCGGGCACCTGCCGGGCGCTCAGGCCAGGGCTCCTAGCTGTGCAGGGGAGGGGGCGGCGGGGCTCCGGATAATGCCCACAGACCGCTTCTGCATGTGGACCATCCCCATCGCGCAAGAAACAGCCACTTCCCTAGCGAACGTTGCATGCAGGCGTTTTCTGTCGTGCGAGACAGAATAGGGGTGGTGCCACAATATTGCCTGCAGTCAGAGCGCAGGACATATCGAGTCATGTGTACCGTAATTTTTACACCATGACAAAGCAGGGATGCTAATTGTATGAGCATATTGTATTCAATGCTTCATTCACTAACAGTGTTGCCAGAACAGATTTGTATGCATCTATGCATTCAGTAAAATCAGCGTCGTAAATAATGTTCCCAGTCGTCTGTTTCCTGTGATGCTACTAATTCTCAGGTAAAATATCTCAGGATATTATCTAAATAACATCTGAAACGGACACGATGCCTCTAGAAAATAAGAAGAAAAACTCCATGGCCTAAATCCCTATAAACAAAGAGTGGGACTGACAAAGGGATTTAGGCATTGCAGTGCTGAGTACTATAGCACTTTACTTTTAGATGCTTAGAAAATAATAGGATCAACACTGAGAGATGCTAACCCAACTCAGGAACTTAGGCTCCCTGCACAATGCCCAGGAAGAGTTTAGATGCAGTGCACAAACACTTGTACACTAGGTCTTGAAGCTCCCTAAACTAGCCTGTGGGAGATACCAATGACGGGTATATACAAATCCAGTGATTACCAACCAGGTTGTTGTGTACCCCTGGGGTACTCATGTCTTCCAGGAGTTGCATCAACTTGTCTAAATAGTTGCATACTTTTAAAAAAGGCTATATAAAAAACACCAGTGAAATCTGCAAATAAAATTTCATACTTGTTTATACTGCTCTATAAAACATACACTGAAATGTAAGTGCAATATTTATACTCCAGTTGATTTATTTTATAATTATATGGCAAAAAATGAGAGAGCAGTTTTTCAGGAATAGTGTGCTGTGACTTATATTTTTATATCTGGTTTTGTAAGCCAGCAGTTTGTGAGGTGAAATTTGGGGGAATGCAAAACAAATCAGACTCCAGGGTACAGTAATCTGAAAAGCTTGAAAACTATTCTCCTAAATCATACCACCTTTTCAGAGAGAGGTCCCTAAATCTTGGGCTTTGTCTGCACTTAACAGTTTAAAGTGAAGTTCTTTAAACTCAAAGTGTGACCATGGTATAAGTGCTGGGAAAGAGGTCTCTCAGCACTCTATGTAAACTATCTTTGCAAGAGAAGTAGCTAACTAAGTGAGGTTAGTATTATCTGGCCATGTGAACTATGGTACAGGCAGTCCCCGAGTTACGCGGATCCGACTTATGTCGGATCCGCAGTTACGAACGGGGCCGTTCCTCTCCCTGGTCTCCAGCAGACCGGGGAGAGGAAGCAAAGCGGCGGAACACCTCAGCACTCTATGTAAACTATCTTTGCAAGAGAAGTAGCTAACTAAGTGAGGTTAGTATTATCTGGCCATGTGAACTATGGTACAGGCAGTCCCCGAGTTACGCGGATCCGACTTATGTCGGATCCGCAGTTACGAACGGGGCCGTTCCTCTCCCTGGTCTCCAGCAGACCGGGGAGAGGAAGCAAAGCGGCGGAACACATGGGCAGCGGACAGGGCTGTCAGCTGGCCGGGCGCTCCACAGCTTGGCTCTGCTTTGCCCCCCGTCCCCCCCCGTCCCCCTGGTCTGCAGACCAG